CCCCCCTCTCTCTCTATTACCACGCTGTATCGATCGATCCATCACAGGGGTATGCCGCCGCTCATGAGTTGGTGACGGACACGATGGCCGCCGGGGCCGAAGGGGAAGGGGACGTCGCTCTCTCCGCCGTCATCGTTGACCACATCGCCGCCGCCTGCCGGCTCTGCCTTGTCCAGAAACCCGGCGGCGCCGGCGCTGCCGGAGGGTCGAAGTTCCCGCTCTCCCCGCCGTTGTGGGCACGCATGGGGGCGGCCGATTCGTCCACCCACGGCATTATCGCCTCAACCGACGACAGCAGCAAGGGCAGCGGCAAGAAGGGGAGCGAGTCGCCGTTCTTCCCGGCTAAGTCACCGGGCACGGAGAAGACTTCGTCCTCCAGCCACAGCAGCGCTAGCGCCAAGAGCGGCGGCGATGTGGTCAGCGGTGGCGAGGGAAGCGGCCACGACAGCTCTGCCGCCGCTCCTCCTGTGGCCGCCGCTGGCACCACCACCGGCAGTAGCAGCAGTAACCTGTTCAAGGGGGGGACCATGTTTAGCGGGATGAAGATCAACATGGGCGAAATCTTCAAGAAGGGTGCCGCGACAAGCAACAACTCCGAGGGAGGAGCTAGTGCTGAAACGGCGGGATCGGAAGGAAGTTCTAACACTGCTGCTGCGGCTGCGGCTGATAAACCGGAGGAGGCGGCGAAGGGGGACGGGGAGCCCGCGACCGACTTGGCGGCGAAGCTTCGCATCTCGCTTGGCAGGTTCGGTAGCTTGAAAGAGGTCAAGAAGGATGCCGAGGGGGCTGGTAGCGAAGCTGCGACGGCGGCGGCGGCGGCGGCGGCGGCGGCAGGGGGTACGTCTGAAAAGGACAAGGACTCCGGGATCGGGTCGCTATTCCGAAAGGTCGGTTGGTTCGAACTCGGGTGGTGTGTGGATGTTTTGGGGGAGTTGGAGAGGTGTGGTCGTGTCGAAACTACAAGTGTTTGGTCGTCCAATCACACAGCGTCTTCTGTCTGTCTGAAAGGCGTTGTATATATGATTTGTTTACTCGCTGGATGGGCTGGGAAGGCCGTGCATGTTTGCGTTATTCATGGCATCTGATCCATGCACAACAGATGCCCATTACTCCCCCAGCACTAAGGTTTTTGTTGATCTGAAAGCTAAAGGTACTGGCAAACGCACCGTCCACACGGGCGTATCTCTCTACAGAGACGGTTCAATTTTTGTTTTCTTCGACGTCCAGGTCCAAAAAGCGAGTAAGCTTCCATCGTTTGACACAGAGCAAATAACCTTACTTAGTACGTCAAGTGCGGCAAACGAGTCGTCCCACCATTACAAAAATGTGCTTTTTTGGTTTGGTCGAGAAAAACTCTGTCGCTGGAGATATTCCGAGTATTGCCCAAATTGAAGCGCGTTGTCCATGGTTTCGCTCCGAGCACAAAGCTCTTCGATTTAGAAGAAAAGTGCGGCAAACGATTCATCTCAACAGTACAAAAAAGACGGTTTTTTGTTTGGTGGAGAAAAAATGTGTAGCTCGAGATGTTCCACATCATGCCCAAAACTCAATTTTTCTTTCAGTGTTGAAGTTTGTTTGCTCCGTACTTGCTTGAACTTGCTTGAACTTAGAGTAGTGTCCAATTTTTTCTTTGGACCTTTATTGTTCGCCTTGGTGTGGGGATCACTACAATGACTCGATTTCTTTGCAAAGTTATCACACGAACCGTGACTGGACAAATTGTTGTGCGTGGATCATACAACCGATCGTTTTTTGTACTGTATTACCAACGAGAGCCTCTTACGAGCAAAACCAGTAAGTATTTTTTATCCCTCCCACTTGCAATTTTTTCTGCCTGGCATTTTTCCACACACCGTTATCGATGGGCGTCGACAGGCGCAATCCTTCAAGGCGGCCGACGTAGCCGCAGCGTTCGCCGATCTCCGCGACGGGCCCAAGACCTTCGGTGTCGCCTCCCCCACGGGTACGACCCAGGCGAGAGGTGCAGCAGCTGGCCGGGGGGGGAGGGGGGGGGTGCAGCAGGTGGTAGAGGTGGAGGAGGTACTAGGGGAGGAAGAGGACGATGACGATGACGCGGGGGAGCTTTTCGTGATCGGCGATGATGAGAGCGAGACTAGCGAGGTACGGACTCGTGACATGGTGCGCCAAAAGGGACAACGGGTTTGTCGTGACATGGTTCCCCAAAACCCCCCCAATCAATGAATCCCGTTTGGGTGGCCCCCCCCCCCCCCGTCCACTCCCGTATTGACAAAAAGCCACGAAGAGGGGAGTTGGTTTCAAAGTACACCCTCAGGACGATAAGAACCTGGTACCCAATTTCGACCGCTACTCGTACTATCGGTGTGATTGTGAGACCACTGTTTTGTATGTATGCATAACAGTTTCGTGTGGGTCGTTCTCTGTCCCTCTGTCCTGCTCTTTGCGCTTCACGCGAATACTGTGCTGCACACGGTACCACTCTAGCTGGCATGGCAGCGTCATTACGACCCCCCCAACCCCTTTCTTTGTAACGTGACAAACGCATTTCCACTTGGGCTACACCTCTCGCGACATACAATTTTCGTGCTGACTATTTACTTGTTGTCTGTCCTTTATGTTGTATTTCTCTCTCTCTCTCTCTCTGGCGAACGCGTTTCTCGCGCGCCACGTCTGCGTTTCGGCAGAACCCGGACAGTGACTTCGAGGGCTTCGACGGGGAGCACCCGCCGCCGCGTGCTGGAGGCGCTCGCACCGCGGCGGACAAGGAAGTCGCGCTGCTGGAGCACCGGCTCAGCGGACAAATCAAGGGGGCGACAATGGTGAGCGTGGCTGGTTGTGGTGTGGGTGTGGGTACACTCACGGTGCTTCTTGCGGTACGCGACCTCGCGCGGTAATTGTGGTTGGTCTTTCGCTATATGTGGGTTTATGAGGGTTTATGAGCTTCGTCGATCTTGGTGCGTTGTTGCTTTCGATCGTTTCAGCGACACCACCAAGCTGTTCATCACCTTTCTCCGCATGCGCCTATCCGTTGATGGCTTCCGTTGCTCTGTGCAATGCGTATGCCTGTTTTTTGTCTCCTCAGGTCGTAGACGAGTTTCTAAAGGTACCGGGGGCCAAGGTGTTCACCGTCACCAAGCACAAGGTGACCTTCCACGATGTCGACGCCACCCCGGAAGCCTCGTCACCAGACAGCAGCACCAGTAACGCCTCTCCCGAAAACGACGCTCAAGGCGGGGACGCAAAAGCTAGCACCGCCGAGGAGAAGGGAGTTGCAGCAGATTCCGAGGTCGAAACGAGCGGCAACGCAGACGGCGAGGAGGAGGAGGAGAAGTCTTCACGGCAGCAAGAGGAGGGGTCCAAGAAGAAGATGAGGGTCCGCGCGGTAACGGAACTCGAGCGCGTGGTCTTCCTGTCTCGGGAGCGCATCTTGGTCCTCGCCTGCCCGTCCGGGCCCACGAGCCCGGGGCTCGTGAAATCGAACCACCACCTTACCGAGCTGCAGAAGATGACCTTCATGAGGAGAGACCCGTCGCTGGTGACCCTGCACTACTTGGCGCCGGGGGGCCCGCAGGAGGATGGTTCTCCCGGGGCGACGAAGCGGAACGTGTACCGGTTTGGTCTGGACGACAAGGAGGCGTTTATCCGGATCATCCGAGGGGCTTTGCAGCGGTTCCAGGCGTAAGAATGAGCTGGGCTTGTTTTGGCGCACCGTGTTTTTTCGCTTCAGGGACAGCAGCAGTGTGCCGTCGAATTTGATGGGGAACCAATGTTGGTGGTTCGGAGATGGATGGGAGGAGGTTATGTATCAGTAAGGACTTTTGGGTCTCTTTGTTGTCTGTGACAAGATGGTTAGATAGTGTACTGGCATCAGTTTTATTTCTTGATTGATTGATTGATTGGGTGTGGTTTGGTTTGTTTGGTTGTTCGCCCTTCCCGGTTGTTTGGAGTTTTTCATCCGGTCGCGTTGAATCGTGCCTTGAAACGATACCGTTGTTTTTTATGCAGTCGAGCAAGGGTGGTGGCGGTAGTACGCGTAAGCGCGTACGTACGTGTGCGGCGATGTTGGAAGGCATTTTTTTGTGGGTTCGGAGAGGAGCGCTAAGCGTGGCCCCCAAGGACTTTCTCGTTAGGGATGGCGCGGGTGGGCGCTTGTGTTTTGCGTTTTGGCACGCTTCCGCTCGGTTCTCCGAAACTGCCATCCATGCGCAGCTAAACAGGCCGCCTCAGCTTCAGGATTTGCCACTCCCGGTGAAGATGTCGATGAGCCCCGCTGAACTGCCGGCGGCTCCTTTCCGCAAATCGACGACCGCCGCGACGTTTCTGTCCGTCGTTGGTGTCGATCGAGGCTGGATGTTATCTAGTATGGTGCGTAGCACTTTTGCTGCGAAGTTAGGCTGGGCGCAGCTAGTGCGTCCTCCAGGAGGTCGTCGTGTGCCTAGCGGCGTGCCTACTAGATACTGCTGTAGGTCTAGATGAAGAGGTGCGATGCACGTATGTATATGGAGGAGACGAGTCGCAGCAAGTAGTTTGTGCGTCACGGCGAAGGAATCACAGGCAGGCCATGTGTGTGCGTCCTTCTCTCTGTTTTGTTGTGCTCGTATCCCCATTCATACGTTGGTGTAATACTTGTATTATCGTGGTTGGCCGAGTGAATACTCCGGGTGGGTGGACTTTGTGTAGTCCAGTTCCTTCCTGGTTGCCTATCCCCCGTGGGTTTTATCCGGAAGGTACAATGGTTGCGGGCCAGCCTCGTAGCTAGCCATAGCAGGACAGGAGATCTACTATAAACACTACTCACTTCTGGCGCGCCGATCGGGATTGTGTCGGGATGCTAGTTGGTTTTGCAGGAAGGCTTGTGTAGCATGCTCTCGGTCCGTTGTCGACGAACATTTTCATTGTTCACCGATTAAACGTGGAGTTGTGGCGAGACATGTTGTCTGTGATGGCGTTGATGGACTTGAGTGTGGTTCTTCCATTTTTTTTTTTCTTGTTACGCCGGACGAAGTGATGAATCAAGAACATCGCAGTCATCAACCACACCTTCTTCCGTGTTACATAGCCTCAGCGTACCACAGCCTCGAACAAGTTGGGAGGCGGGGTCTCGCCAAGCTTACTTCAAAAGAAGGGAAGCTGTCGTGTCAAAGCCTCGCTTCTTAGTTCCCATGCGGTTGAGAGTTGAGAGTGAATACAATCCTCTTTGGTTACTTCAAAGATTTTGCACTCCAAGCCGGCGCATGTCATAGCACCGCACCAACAGAGGATAAATCGCACGGATGTACGTAAAACAATATACGCCTCGTGTCATGCAATCTGCTCAAAACCCCACAAGACAAACAGAGCCACAGTCAGTACATACAGCAGCACCGTTGTACCACGGCATGAAGGAGGAGTAGATACCACCCACGGAGTGTACAGTCACACATATCGGTGACCTCCTCCGAAGCTGGAGCAGCAGTATCCCACAGTCGGTCGGTGTAAATATTGGAGATTGCGATGAGGACTGCAACAGGTCCCCTCGGAGTCCCGTCTCTCATGGTCGTGTACCACGAGAGACGCGACGCTTGCGCGTGTGCGCATGTTGCGTGTTTAATCAAAAATGCACGGGACTTCCAACTTTTCTCCTCCAATTTTTATCATGAAGCTCCCGAAAGAAGTCACCACCTCCTCTGTAGTATCGACACACCCTTGGGCTCCAGCTCGAACCTTCTTGCTGTTTCCTTCATCGGAGGGTTGAAAATAAAAACCCTTCGCCCCCTGATCCCCTGTTGTGGCCAGTGATATGTGGTCCTGCCTTTTTTTTTTCTACAGCTTCTTCGGGCCGAAGCTGCCGCGTGGCCTGCCTGCGCCTTCGCGCTTGCCGCCGCGCTTCTCGGGGCGTGCATGTTCGGCGGCGCTGGCATGACAGTCCCGCGGTCTCTTGGTTCGAGCTGCCGCCACCTCCGCTTCTGCCTCCGCCTCAATGCGGTGCCTGGAGTCTCGCAGGCGCTCGACGACGTTGCCGCCCTCAGATGGCCACCAGTCCTCGAAGAACTTGTGCTCGGCACCCCGGTCGCGACCCGTCTTGCGGCCCTTTGGGCGTTTGATCGGGGTGCTCCTCCACTCCTTCCTGACGCCCTCAGGGAGGTCCGCGACAAGATGTATGCGATACGACTTGCTCTTGTTGTCTAGGCCCGCGCTGACAACACTCCCGTCTCCCAGAAGCGATACACACTTCTCCCTGAAGTAACGCCATGTCTCATCGCTGAACGTGGACGACATGACCTTGCGTGGTACACGATTTTGTTTGTGCAACCTGGGGCTTGTTGTGTCCGCAAAAATTTGAAAATGAGGTTTTGAATTTTTGCGGGACTTTGCCCGCCGGTTCGGGGAATGGTTCCACCGCGAAAAAAAAGGCGTGGACGAGAGCTCTCGGTAGCTGCAAAAATTTGCGCGGGGTTCGGCGTGGTTGCTGAGATATGTGGGTTTTAGTGGCGTGAAGTATACTTCACAGCGACGGTAATAGGGCCATAACTTTTCTCGCAGCGCGAACCCCGCGAAAAACTATGGCTCATTCGAACGCCCCTTGCGAGAGCTTTACAGTGGTGTTTTTTTTTTTTTTAATTCGATGGGCAACGCTTCTTTTTTTTTCAAACCACCCCAAAAAACGACCCACATGATAGAACTGTACTATAGACTAAACGTACTGCTGTCGCTTCAAAAATGCGGGGCAATTGCGGATGAAACCGTCAGTGACACACGTTCGGAGATTCATGATCCCGGGCGAGAGTGCGAGTTTTCGGATGAGCGGCATCGGCAATGACTTCACACATGGTAGACCATATATCAGGAACGGTCTAGCTTCATACTCTGTCGGTGGCTACTGCCTTTGTGCTCACTGCTCCACGCCCTGCAGCGGCATGGTGGTGTGGTAGCAATCGCCATGAAGGTATAGTCTACGCTTACATGTTGTAGCCGAAGTTGAAGGAAAGCGACCACCCACACATGGACCTCCTCCGCGGCTTAGCCAAGCGAGGACCTTCGTCCCCCGGGTCGGTGACGGCGGCGGAGGAGGGCTCGCCAGTTGAGGAGTTTTCCCCGGAAGAAAGGCTGCTCCAGCTCAACCAGGAAAGTGTGGGCGAAAACATGTCTTCGTCTGGACTGCAGTACTGTAGACTACTGCTGTATCAGTAGGTTTTTGTGTGTGATTTGTTGAGCGAAACAACTCCACGAGCGCAAATGATCTTTTACTGCTGTAGCATATGTAAAACATGGGTGGGAGCACCTTGGGGGCATGAATTATGCACGAGATGGGCAGATCATGCCCTGCCGCGCTAGCACCGGTTGTTGCCGCCGGAAAAAACGATCTGTATTAGCTAATCTGTATCCTCCTCACCGATGCACCACACCGTGATCGTGCATGTTTCACGTATGACAGGACATATTCTTGGAAGAAGACCGTCACCAGCAGGCTATGATAGCGCTTGAGAGCTCTGTTCTCGGTTGCGGCAGCGATGACTGGTCGGTGGACAGCGACTACGCCTTCCAAGACTTCGCCGACGACGTCAAGCATCACCAACAACAACAGGCACGGCACGAAAAGAGCGAACAAAATCTTCTGCAGTCTTCATCACCGACTCGCGAGAGAAGCGCTGTGCCAAATCCAGGAACACCGATCAACAAGCGTGTCGTGGGCAGCCTGGACGATAACTCAAGGGCCGAAACAACAGAACTTCACGAGCACCCGGAGGCAGCAGAAGGAGCTCGGGCAGACACGTTGACAGCGGGAGGAGCGCAGGCTGCTGGAGGCGGAGGGGGGGTAATACCTGAAGAGGGGGAGGTGGGCGGAAGCAGAAGAGGTTCAGCCTCGGAAGCCGGCAAGGATAATCGGCACCACCCAGTACTGTCTAATACCAGGCTTTTCGGGGATCCTGGTAGCAGTTCTGACAGCACGCACATTCTGAGGCTCGAGCAACGCATGTTTCTCAAGGTGGGTTTACTTGATGGGTGCCGTCATGTTCAGGAACATTCCGCGCAACAATATGGGGGCGCCTCCTACAGTACATGAAACATGCGAATGTGTTCGTGATCGTTGAAAACTCAAAAATTCCCTTGGCGGCGCCGAGGAGACTGTCGATTACACCTCTACATCGATTGAAATTTTCAAGGGACCATCCGGTGTGGAGAAAGACCGGTCCAAACGATACCCATCGGTTGTTGTTGTACTCACTAGGAAAGTCGTCAACAGGTAATGACCATGCAGACAACTTGCAAGAAGAGCATTGCACACCGATACCAAGCAACTAACACACATGGCTGGTTAGTCACACCCGCAGCAATTTCGTGCGTGAGGCCCTTCCTGAACCTAGCGACAGAAAACGCACCGCCACCGAACCATACCGCGTGCGCCCGAAAACAGGCCGCGTTTCAGTTGCTGGAGGAACGAGATCGCCTCTTCCCAGCGTCGATCGGCTCGTGGGGCACCGCCGGCGGCGGGTGGGTACCTCCAAGCGGTGGCGGTGGCGGCGGTGGGGGCAGCAACCTTCGCGACCGGCGAGGCGGGTACGTTAACGGCGGGGCCGTTTCCGCCGGAAAGGCTGGCGAGGGCGCTCGCTTCCATTTTCAGCAGCACGAGCCCAATTTCTACGCGAACAGGCCGAGGATCCTCAAGTCAGGGACCCTGCGGAAGGCCACGGCGAGGAGCGTTGGGCGCCTCGAGAAAACCACGTGGAAAACCAAGTACGTCGAGCTCACGCCCGGGAGCTTCGCGTACTCCGACAACGGGCCCATCGTGATAGGGAAGAGGTGAGTGGTTGCGTGCGTCGAAGGCCACATGCAGGGCCTGAGTCAAGATTCACAAACAAACGTTAGTCAATGGTAAGAGTTGGCATCACGCGCATTATTCTCAGTGACGTGAGCACCTGGAACAAAGTAGACTCTGCAATTAAATGTACAGATTCCACCGCATCCGACCGAGTGTTGCCTACATGTTTTTCGGGAACCGGAAAAGGGCTGAAACTTGGCAGTTTTCGTGGATGACACGAGTACGCAACAACTCCGTACCCTAATCAAAGCACGGAAAATGATGTTGCCCTCATCTTCGTTCACAAGTGGA